AAGCAGCAACAGATGACCCAAGTACTTGGGCCCCTGCCATCCACATGGGAGACCAGGAAGAAGCTCCTGGCTCCTGGCTCCTGGCTCCAGCCTGGCCCAGCGCTGGCCATTGAAGCTCTCTGGAGGAGTGAACCAGCAGATGGAAGATCTGTCTCTCCCTCTCTGTAACTCTTTCAAATAAATCTTAATTCATTTGGGTGAAAAAAATTTTTGAATTCCATGCATAGTTTTTCATAACATATAAGAATTGATTTCAAAATTTCTTTGTGCCCAATGAATTTATATTCTGTTTTTAAAGATTTATTTATTTTCAAACTCAGAGAAAGGGAGAGACAGGGACATCTTCCATCTGATGGTTCACTCTCCAGATGGCCACAACAGCCAGCACTGGGCCAGGCCAAAGCCTGGAGCTTTACCTAGGTCTCCACATGGGTGGCAGCTGCCCGTGCACCTGGGCCATCTTCATCTGCTTTACCCAGGCCATTAGCAGGGAGCTGGATTTCAGGGAGAGCAGCCGGACACTGACCAGTGCCCATACAGGATGCTGGCATCGCAGGCGGTGGCTTTACCCACTGTACCACAATGCCAGCCACCCCATTTATCGTTTAATTCAGTTTTCCCCAAATCTTTTGGTAGTACTCTCAAAGGATGTCCATTAATCACAAAGCTGAAAGCATTATTTTTAATAAGGCTGCTGTGTATCCACTAAAACGAAGAGTGTGAAATTTTGATGTGTCTTACTGCGTGTGCATGTGTTAACCTCAAAGAACCCATATAAAACTTGCTTGGGGAGCACACATTGCACTTAGTGCAAGGCATTCAGGCTCTGACAAGCCACAGTTATATCCCTGACTTTAAATCAGTTAGCTTTCTTTAGCCCTGGGTATCTATTCCACAAATCCATTTGTAGGATTTTTCAGAATCACCTGGCTGCCAGGAGTCATTTCGCAGTTCTGGTCTTCTTCCTCCAGGCAGGCAGGCCACTAATACCCTTTCTCCCCCATGGGTTTGTGAATGTCTATAATGTTGTGTTGAGACAAAGGATTCATCCCTGTATTCAGAAGGTATTCTTTGTATCTCACTTAAAGCTTCATTATTGTAAGAAAAAGGGGTGCAGATGGGTGCCCCCTCACACAGGGCATCAAATTCAAGAAAAAGGGCACAGAGCAAAGAGGAGACAGAATGCGATCAAATTTATTCAAGGAAAATGAACTTGTAGAGGTCGACCAGCTGCCTGCATGCACACAGCCATGGCAAAAGGCTCACGCCCCAGTAAGCTGGGCCTTTTTATATCTTAGGTGGACTGGGAGTGGAGGTGGGGGGCAGTGGGAGGAGAGCTTCCCCACACAGGTTCTTTAGGTTTGGCCTGCTGGTTTCCAAACCTGGGGAAGAATGCAGGGGGTGCAGTGGGGAACCATAGGGTAGGAGACTCAATCGGCCTCTTGAAAGAAAGCAGGGGTAACAAGAACTTAAAATGGCTGAAGCTGTTTCATCAATTAATTGTATTTCACTGCCCAGGTCTTCCCTCCAGCTAGGGGACTCCCAAGTTTCAAATTCAAACACAAAGCAGGTTGCTCAGTCTAATTTTCTTACAAATAGTCATTGCCTTTGCACATGTAGTTGGGTTATAAGACAGCAAAAGGGCAGAGGGCAGCACAGTGACCTACAGACCAAATCAGGCCACTTTCTGTTTCATAGCAGACTAAGAATAGCTACTGCATTTTCACATGGTCAGAAAAAAAAATCAAAAGAAGAGTAATATTATGAGACATTGAAAATGGTGGCAAACACATTGCAGTGTTATTTAAGTAGAGATTTATTAGAACATAGCTACACCCCTGCTCTTGCATATCCTCTATCACTGCTTTTGCACCTCCAGGACAGAGTGGAGTAGCTACAGCTGAGACCCTTTGTGGGCACCAAAGCTGAAAATATAGTCACTATGTGGCCCTTACAGAAACCATTTCTCAATTCCTGGTATGGATTAGAGTACAGCTGTTAGGTTCATAGCATCATAGAGATTCCATTCACAGGACACAAACCTATTGCTGTTCAATATGAATATGAAGTATAAGTGCTCACTAAAATTATGAGAGTGCTGCTTTTACTGTCTCAGTGAAAGAGCAATGGAGATCGTAAGCAAGTATTCACACATGTCAGCAACAAAGTGATTCTCAAAGTGGACCTGAAGAGAGACTGTCCGAGGCTACTCTGAGCCCATTCAAGCCCAGTCTCTTGGTTTTCCTGTATCAGCTATGGCTTTAGTTGTGAGGCCTTTGCAGGGAGACAGAGCCACTTTCCCTACAAATATGTCCACACGATCAGGAAGAAATGTCAGTCGTCAAAGTTCTTGAACAAGAGGAGCCAGGATCCCTTCAACCATTCAAGCAGGAACTGCTTTGCTGTTTGTATTAGTGTAGAAATGAATAATCATTAATTGGGGTCGGAGGGTCTAGGGAAGAGGACTAAAGAAAAAATTAAAGCTAAAGAGAATGTTTTTAAGCGGGTCTCCCTTTCTCAATGTGTCATATATAGTAGGAAGTATGAATGCTTGTGGTATTTCCATATTTACACTATGAATATTTGGCAGCCAAGTGGCCATACACAGTCTCTTAGGAGTCTGAGTGAAGTAGCACTTTATTCACTGAGAATTGCTGGGTACGTTAGGTGGGAGTGGGGCTTGCAAATGGTAATGTGCCCTTACAAGCTTGTGGTCTTCTCCACCTGCTCTTCTCTGCTCCCCGTGAATCTACTTTGTTCTGAGCTATTCCTTAGTGCCTGTGGGGATTGATTCAAGACTCTTCCCCCCATGCCAAAATTCCCAAATGCTCATGTCCCTCATATACAGTGCACAGTATTTGCAACAACCTATATTCTTGCACCTGTATACTTTAAATCATCTCCAGATTACAGAATACTTAACACAATGCAAAAAGTTGTCATAATGTATTGTTTAGGGAATAATGGCAAGGAAAAAAATTGTGTGTGTTCATACATTCCCCCCCCCCAAGTCTTTTGAATCACTTCTGTGGGTGTGGAACCCATAGCAGGCTGACTGTATATGCTTCATGTGCTGAAAGCAAACAGGAGACTCTTGGTTGCCTCCAGAAGATCTGATCTCATCAGATTATTATCTGAGATGACATTTCTATCCTTACTGAAAATGTCCCATGAAAAACACTGACCTTTAATCCTTTGTGTTGTCTTAGTCTTCATCATAACAAAATTATTGTCCAAAAGGTTACCATTGTTTTCACTCAAGATATCCTATCATCTGGAGGAGGAATCAATTACTCAGCTGGTGGATATTGAATAAACACCTGTCATAGCACTATAGTAAGCGCTGTGACAGATCCAGAAAATTATTAGATATGATCTTTGCCCTTCAGGTAGTCAAATTGGGAAGGCATAGTTTACACACACACACCAAACACATGAGGCTACTTTAAAAAAAAAAAAAAAAGCTTATTTAAAATGGAAATGAAAATTTATCTTGGTTCAAAATAATTTGAAATTCATGCATATGGGACTTTTCATGAAGTTCATAGAAAATGCATATTATGAAAAATCCATGTATGGGTTTAAAATTCTTTCCTCCAAATAAACTTATTTGTAATTCCATTTTTTTATGAGCTTTACGAACTACTTTCACATAAACATTTTACTTACATGAAAGTTTAAGCACAAGGATAAAAGAGTTCAGAAGAGACAAACTTTTAAAATTTCATTTTTTTAAAAAAAACTTTTTTGTTCTGTTGGTTTGCTCCCCAAATGGCTGCAACAGCCAGGGCAGGGCCAGGAGCTTCTTCCAGGTCACCCACATGGGTGCAGGTGCTTCCACTGCCTTCCCAGCACATTAATTAATCCAGGGAGCTGGATTGGAAGTAGAGCAGGTAGGACTTGAACCAGCGCCCTCATGGGCTCTGCAGTTCTACCCACTACACCACAGTGCTGGCCCTAATATAAACCATTTTGAGGAAAGAGGAGATGAGAATTGAACCACCACTGTAGGAGTACAAGCTTAGTAAGTGGGGTGAAGCGAGGAAGGGGGCATTCCCAGTAAACAGATGAAGTCAAAGCAAGAAACACAGTCTTACCCAGGTCAAATTGTATACATTATGTCCCATCATCCTATATATAGTACACCTATTAAGACTAAAATTGAGCAATAACCGTACCATGCATGTTAACTTTGTGTATAGATATGTCATCCTTTGCTATTTGGGCTCTTAGCCCATTAAGTCCCGAATGTTCAATTCTGTTAATCTCTCAGTGACATAGATGATTGTCAGGTAGCCATAGCCAGATTGAGGCTAGAACAAGGAAGGCATGGAAAACGAGTAGCTGTCTTACGAATGAGGAAAAAAAGTGCGGAGTCTAATGGCCAATTTGGAGACAGGGTCTGGAGGAACTATATGGCTTTTGTTGTGGTTCAAGTTGTAAAATAATAGAATAAAGATTAGTTGTAAGTAGTATGAATGGAGAGGAAGGGCAAAGCTGAGGTGTAGAACTAGACACTCTCCCATAGCAGTTGATAACAACTTCAATGAGTATATCCGCCCCCTGAGGAAGGAAAGATGAAGAACAATCAAAGCTCAAATCTTGACAGCCCTCTGTTTACCTGGGGGGGGGGGGGGGGGCAGATATTTTGAAAAAATAGCGGTGAGTTACACCATCCCTTGAGCTCATGAAATCGAGCATTTCAAGGGGATGATCAAGAAGGAAACATGAACATACTTGTGAATACATACAACACACCCAGGACTCCAAGAAAGGTCCGGACTAAGAAATGACGTAGATGATAAGGCTGTTGATGACACACCAAAGTGCCGTTTCAGTTGAGAGCTGGGGTGTAAACCCAAGTGCTCCAGCCCTGCCTTATTGTAGCATTCTAGTCCTTTACTAATAATATCTAACAAAATTCAATTTTATGTTCCTTATGGTGATTTTTACTAGTTCCAGTATAGTCATTGTTTTGTTCTTTGTTTACCTCTCTCTAGGAATTTGTCTTATTTTGCTACACAAAGTAGCCCATCTGCTGTCATTTTGAACCTGTGGGAAGCTCGTCATCAGCACGATGGTGACCTTGACTCCCTGGCCTGTGCCCTTGAAGAGATTGGGAGGACACACACGAAACTCTCGAACATTTCGGAATCCCAGCTTGATGAAGCCGACTTCAACTACAGCAGGCAAAATGGACTCTAGTCCACTTCCTCTCATGAGACAGAGTGATGGCCAGCTTTGGGACATTTGCTTTAAAGAGGAAAGAAAGAGGCAGCTTTCTGCCCAGTGGCTGGGAAATTCAGGCTTCCTTTACAATCAGTGAGATTCCCTGGTTGAAGAAAGTGAATTTTTTGTAGGGAAAACATTAACAGAGAAAGGTACAAGCTCCCGTTGATCTAAGGGGGGGATCTTCTATCCCTTCTGAATCCACACTTGGGTTAACACTGGGTGCACTCCTTGGGTTTGGAGTGGCAAAGATAAAAGTGAGGGCATATCTAGATAGAAGTAACTGTGGGAAAAGACGAGCTACTATCAAACTGGGAAGGCAGAGATGGATTAAATGCATGTTTTGAAACAGGTTTTTAATGATGTGCCCCAACGGGCCAGCTTATTCTGCTACCAGATTGTCAGCATTTTCTACCAACTGACATCTGTGATGTTGGAAATCATTGTAAAATTGACTTTTAGAAGTGAAACAGAGTTGCCAACCTGTTTGTAGGACTTCAACAATGTCAAGGAGGGCATATAGAATATAGATCTGAGTATATCACACCAGCACCAATTTCTTGTCTATTCTAGACGTGTACTGGAGATGAGATTAAGAGGGAAGATAGACCACCAACTAGCTCTTGTAGTGTACCCCACCTTCATGTCTCCCCCTGGAGACAAATCTACCCACATTCTTCCCTAATATGGTAGAGAGCTTTTAAGGAGCATCATTTCACTTTTCCTTATGGAAATTTATTTCTCCTAACTCAACAGAAAACACAGCCATCTCTGTTCCCAGCTAAGCCACTCAAGTTACAGAATGCTATTACAACACAACTTATTACATATGCAGAGGCAGGACAGGTCAAACTAGGTCCAAGGAAATACATGAATTACAGATGTCAGAGGCCTCAAATAAGCCAAAATTCTAGGAGGCAAGTGTCTCTCTGGTTCTCCAACATTATTGTTCTAAGGGAATTAAGACATTTACTGTACTTTTAAATCTGGGTTCTTGAAATTTTCTAACCTTTTGGTACTATGTCATCATAAAATCTCTCCATAGGGCTATAGGTCATCCTCTTTTGTGTTTTGGGGGAATTATCAGATAGTCCATGTTCTAAATGATATCCAAGTAAGCAGACCTGAGTAATACCTCTACCACAGTATACCAGAAAACACATGCTTTGTTCAGGAAGCCCTCAAGCTCTGACTGCTCAACCTCACCAATCATGTTTTTTTCTATGAAACCGTCCTAATTCATGCTTCTTTTTGTTCAAATAAGAGGCAGTTGTATTATAGAGAGCTGAAATCCAGATAATTTGTGACTTTGATCTTAACACCGTATCTTTTCAGCCTATTCAAGTCATTTTTGGCAAAATGTCCAGGTAGACTAGATAAACAGATATGTTCCTGTTCCTCTTCTGGTGGGTGGCTTGGTTGGCTGTCCACAATCAGGACAACCAAAATTAAAGATCTAATTTGATCACAAAGCAGCTCATCTGCTGCTTTAGACGTTGGCTGTATTTGAATAAAATAAGAGTAGTCCTAGAATGGAGGCTCTGGAGAACACTTGGCAGTGGGAAATCCCATAAATTTAAACATTGTTGTAGATCACTTGTTAAAATTATGAAACTTCACCCAAGTTAAAAAAGAAAACACTTAAAGATGGGTTGAATTTATGATGCCCTGGATGGGCATTGAAGAACTCTAGAATTGTGCTGGCTATTTTCTATAGCTAGCGTGTGGTATGATACAGTCCCAATATCAGATAAAAGGCTTTGGCACAAGTAATTCAAATGCATCTTCCTTTTCTCAGGATCCAAAGCCTTACTATATAGAACCACCCATCAACTTAGAACTGTCAAGCATATTTTCAAAATACCATGTCAAGATCAGAAAAACATCCCTTTGCTAGGGTATTCGACTTATAAGGAACAATCGAGTGAAATGGAACTCATTTGACATGGCTGATAAAATGTTTGTAAGAGAAAGAGCTAGAAGTCAATGGACAATCCCTTGCAATAAATTAGAATTAGTTGGCATCAGCGGTATGCAGAAGGTATCTGTGTTACCTGTTGAATAATAGTTTATATAAAATTTATTGAATCATATTTTAATATCCATCTTAGAGGCTTTTTGTTTTAAACCACGCTATTACCTTTTTCTCTCTGAGCTTCTAATTGATTCCACACAGATCCTTTTTAGATCTTTGATACTTTAATACTTTTTAAAATGAAAAATTTAAATAATTTCCCCTCCGATCTATCAAGATTATTTTAAAATGAGATTATTGTCAATCTCTGAATATCTAGGATTTCCTTCCAGGATTTATATCTGGCCTGGGTTTTATAAATGCATTTAAACATCACATCACATAGAGTAACAAAGGAAAGAAAGAAATTGACATATTTCACCTCCAATTTCAGCCCAACATTTAATCAAATTCATCTTTAAGTCTCATTTGCAGCTTTTTTTACATTTCTCTTATGAAATATATGAAATTCTATGGTCATTGTATGGCAAGACTATGCAGTACTTAACAATAGTCTCAAAGAGAACCCATGTTTGTGACTTACAGACCACGGTGGAGGTAGAGACTGAAAATCAAAGACTTACCTCACACTTGAACTTGTGGTTATGCACAGTGACCTAAAAACTGTGGTATTACAATATTTGCGTGTCAACATACATGTCTTTTGTTGAAAGAGAGTTGCTTGTCATTACAAGCACTTAATTTGGAAGTCTTAGTGCAAAAATGAAGCAAAAATTAAAAGTGACCTTTAATGCTTGGCAGGTTACTTAAAATTTTTTACAAAATATCCCACTTACCATTGAATCTTTTAATACTCAAAGAAATTTAAGTCATATAGTCATGCTTTAAAAATGACTTAAAATTATGCCAAAATGGCTCACTTCACGGCTTCACAAGACTGAAGCATCATAAAGATAATTTACAGCCTTTACAACATGGCTTGTGCAGTCTTATGGGTTTACATTAAAATCCTTTAAGCCAAAAGGAAGCTCGCTCTATGGATTTAAATGCAAACTTCATTTACCAGTGCAGGAAGTCTCATAAAACTCAGATGTACTCCCACAAAATTTTTATTGTCCTTTTTGTAAGAGATGAAAAGGAATTGACACAGTTCTTTTTAAAGAGGGGCACTTTTCTCTTTTTATTATTTTTTATCTTCAACAGCAGAGGTATTATCCTGTGCCACAGTCCCTTTATTTTCAGTTGACTTTGAGAGGAAATATTAAGTCAGATCGCTTAACCAGAGTTCTCTTTGGATTAAAAATGTGAGCTTAATTGCAATTTTGGATGACCAAAATTGTCAACCTAGGGATTGATAAGCAAAAGTAGAATATTCAACTGGTAGAAATGGTTTTAAGTAGTATTCTACACTTGCCTAACTTTTGGCAAATTTACCTGTGAATTTCAAAATATTGTAACATCTTTTGACTTGCTTCTCACCCCTCTCCCCCTTTTTGGTCATTTTCACTTCAATTTCTTAGTCTCTCTGCCCTCTGCAGATTTGTTGAATGACATAGCTACCAAATGTGGTGAAGCTCTCTCAGAGGGTTTGTCCCAGCTCTGTAGAGACCACAGAAGCCAAGAAGGAGCTAAGAGAAACCAGTCTGGCTGGCCCATTGTGTGGCCCATTTTCATTACGTTTCCTCATGAAACATTGCAGAGTTTGAATCCTTAGTAACTCCCATTGCCTGGCCTGGAGGTGGCAGCCACAGCAAATGGGAGTGCAACATGTTGGCCTACAGATAGTGACAAAATCTTATTAGCCCTTTGGTGTTAGTTGCCCTAGCGCTGTATTTGAAAATTGATGCTTTAGCCAAAAGCTGAATGGCCACCGTTTCTGTAGTTTCCACTGTTTTTGTCTGCATAGAATTTTCCTGAACTACAAGCAAAAATGTATTTTGTCAAATGTCACAAAAGTGAAAATGTTACTAATCTTAGATGTGTTGCATATTTTGTGTTTTTCCTTTCCAAACTCTTTCGAAAGCTGCAGTTACAAAGCTGTTTGGCTGTATTGACAGCATGTGGTGTTTTTGCAAAAGCAATTCTAGGAGAGCCAGTGTCTACGCGGACTCCTCACATCCCTGCAATGGGGTCGATGACAATATTGAAATAGCCATCTGTGTGCTCTGACTTTTCAAAAAGAAAGAGAGAAGGGGATGGGAATTAGACCTGGCCGTTAGTCACTAGTGTGTAGTGCTGTGATCTGAAGTAGGAACTTTAACTCACATAGAATAATTGTGGTTTTTGAAGCAGCTACTCATTGCTTTTTCCTTTTGCTGTGAACATCTTGGATTCGGAATGTCCTCATGAGGTGGGCCTGAGACAGTAACATTGGAACTTCATGTCTCAGAACCCACCTACTCCATTGGAACCCAGTGATTAAAAAGGCAGGAAGCTTCATGGATTAGGATTAAACTTCCCTTCCCTACTCCCGATATTCCGTTCAGCATGGGGTATGTCGGTCTTCCCCAAACGTTATAGCTTCAAATAATAGATTTGAATAGATTCACCACAATTGGTAACATGTTCTTTGCATGAATGGCAATACCTGTCAAAATTCTTTTACAAAAGGCACGATTACAACAAAAATGCCCTTTGCCTCCACTTTTACTAACCCTTAGGTATTTCCCTTACGTCAAGCAATTATTTACCTACAAATTCCAAAATTGAACAAGTTATGCAATTTCCTTAAAATTATCCAGGGTAGAGATTGAACTGTGGTTCTGATGAATCATCACAGGAGAGGTGATGTTCTAGGGGAGTTTGGAAGAGTATCATGCTTATGACCCCATTACTGACACTACAGCTGGTAATTCTGATGCTGCTCCAGTCGAGAGCTCTGATGATAGAGATGGAAATCACCAGCAGGCAGCCATGTAGGCCGCAGCAGAGGGTAAGGGAAAACATCTCTTCAGAAGCACTCCCCAAGGTTTAGCCTGGCATCCACGGGCCACTCCCATTCAACATTTCTCCCTAAAAAGATGGGGAAGAATAGGCACTGTGGCAATTTTTTTTGTCTTTGTTTTTTGGGGGTCAGGCAATGGGTTTTTTCCTTTGCTGAACTGGAATAAAGACATAGAATTTCCCATTCTTCATAACTGTTTCTGATTGGTACATGCAACCCAGTAATTCTTGACCTAAAAATATTTCAGTCATAAGCATTTTTGACCCAAACTCAAAAAACTAAGTTGTGTGTAACCACCACCACCACCCCCCACTTTGTATATGGAAGATTTCAAAAACAGATTTCATTTCGTTCTGTTTATTTTGGGAAGGTGCGTGGGGGGTGTTTTTTCAAGTGATTCATATATCAAACCCATACCACTCTCCACTTTGATTTGATGTGTTCAAAGCCAAAAAAGAAGACACAACAGCAGGGCTGAACACTTAATTTGACATGAAGCTGAAGGAGTGAGCAAGCCAGAGGAGAGAGTGTGAAGAAAGCATGGCCTTGGCTTCATACCACACTTTTTGTGCCTTGTATTATCAATGTAAATTCTGAATGTTGTACAGTAAATCCTCGAATGGACTTCTTAGAGAACGCTGCACTGGCTTCTTTTTCAGCACATGTACATATCTATAAATATATATACATATATATTTGGTAATGCCAAACAGCTGTGTTATATTGTATTGAACAAAATGGACGGTTTGGATGTTTTATGTAAGTTTGCAAAAAAAAAAAAAAAAACTGGATGGTTACGGACTTTTCAAGATAAATGTACAGACGTCAATTACTGCATATCAGTTATTTATGAATAAAGAGTCTTTTATTGACATTTTAGGACGCTCTGTGAGTGGAACTTTGAAATCTCAAGGAGGAGCCCTGTGCCATACCTCTTGCCACATTCTTGCTGGAGGTGCAGTGCCCCGCCCCCCCCAGGACAATTTCTATCTGTTAACATATTAGACATCATTTCTCACTGTGGCCACACAGTGAGACAGCGAGATGCTACTGGAAGCAAAGAGGAGATTATCTTCTAACATTCACTCCCATGCTCCCCCCCCCCCCCACATAACCTTCCATGGGACATGGTTTTATATGCTTGGAGGTAGTGATACCCATGCCATCACTGGGACAGCATTCACTGCCTTCAATGAGTCATTTTTACAGGCTACCTAGAACATTTCCTGCCCATTTCTGAAAATATTAAGTACAATGTTGTACAGTTCAAATACATCTAACCTACTACATCTGTTTTAAATGGTTTTTAAGATGCAGTGAGCTAGGGCTGGCATTGTGGCGAAGTTTGTAAAGCCACTGTCGGCAGTTCCACCATTCCACACATTCCACCAGTTCCACAGAAGACAACCCAAGTCCTTGGGCCCCTGTACCCATGTTGGGGACCTGGAGGAAGCTCCTGGCTCCAATTGGCCCACCTCTGGCCACTATGCTCATCTGGGGAGTGAATCCGCAAATGGAAGACTTCTCTCTCTCTCTCTCTGCCTCTGCCCCTCTGTAACTCTGCCTTTCAAATAAATAAATATTTTTAAAAGAGATGCAGTGAGCTCCTGAGAATTTAATCATAACTGCTTAGAGAGCTAGTCAGAGCCAATTTAAACTCCGTGATCTACTCAAAGATGGCTTCTGATTTAAACTTGTCAGGTTTTTTTCCCAGCTGTTTTTTTTTTTTTAACTTTTATTTAATAAATATAAATTTCCAAAGTACAGCTTTTGGATTACAGTGGCTTCCTCTCCCCCATAACTTCCCTCCCAACCACAACCCTCCCATCTCTCGCTCCCTCTCCCATTTCATTCACATCAAGATTCATTTTCAATTATCTTTATATACAGAAGATCAGTTTAGTATATATGAAGTAAAGATTTCAACTGTTTGCACCCACACAGAAACACAAAGTGTAAAGTATTGTTTGAGTACTAGTTATAGCATTACCTCACATTGGACAACACATTAAGGACAGAGATCCTATCTGGGGAGTAAGTGCACAGTGACTCCTGTTGTTAACAATTGACACTCTTGTTTTTGGTGTCAGTAATCACCCTAGTCTCTTGTCATGGGTTGCCAAGGCTATGGAAGCCTTTTGAGTTCACCAACTCTGATCTTATTTAGACAAGGCCATGGTCAAAGTGGAAGTTTTCTCCTCCTTTCAGAGAAAGGTATCTCCTTCTTTGATGACCTGTTCTTTCCACTGGGATCTCACTCGCAGAGATCTTTCTTTTAGGTTTTTGTGTGTGTGTGTGTGTGTGTGTTTTCCAGAGTGTCTTGGCTTTCCATGCATGAAATACTCTCAAGGGCTCTTCAGCCAGATCCAAATGCCTTAAGGGCTGAATCTGAGGCCAGAGTGCTGTTTAGGACATCTGCCATTCTATGAGTCTGCTGTGTATCCTGATTCCCACGTTGGATCGTTCTCTCATTTTTAATTCTTTCAGCTAGTATTAGTAGACATTAGTCTTGTTTATGTGATCCCTTTGACTCTTAATCCTTTCATTATGATCAATTGTGAACTGAAACTGATGCACTTTGACTAGTGAGATGGCATTGGTATTTGCCACCTTGATGGGATTGAATTGGAATCCCCTGGCATGTTTCTAACTCTACCGTTTGGGGCAAGTCTGATTGAGCATGTCCCAAACTGTACATCTCCTCCCTCTCTTATTCCCACTCTTATATTTAACAGGGGTCACTTTTCATAAACTTGTCAGTTTTAATTTAAAAGGTCAGGGATTGGTTTAAATCATTATTTTCCAAACTTTTTTTTTTAACAGGCAGAGTGGAAAGTGAGAGAGAGAGAGAGAGACAGAGAGAAAGGTCTTCCTTTGCCGTTGGTTCACCCTCCAATGGCCGCTGCGGCCGGTGTGCTGCGGCTGGCACACCGCGCTGATCCGATGGCAGGAGCCAGATGCTTCTCCTGGTCTCCCATGCGGGTGCAGGGCCCAGGCACTTGGGCCATCCTCCACTGCACTCCCTGGCCACAGCAGAGAGCTGGCCTGGAAGAGGGGCAACCGGGACAGAATCTGGCGCCCCGACCGGGACTAGAACCCGGTGTGCCGGCGCTGCTAGGCAGAGGATTAGCCTGTTGAGCTGTGGCACCGGCCCCCAAACTGTTTTAAAAATAACACTGTTTCCATAGAAAGATGGTTTGTCCAAATAAACAAATACTAATTGTGAGAAGCTATGGGGAAAAGGGCAGCACCAGTGTCTACTCTGGACTCCTCACAGGCATGATGTGTGATGACACATATGGCAGACAGCAGGTGTGTGCAGCATTGCCTAACCATTTTTGTGTAATTCCTTCTCTTTGATCATCTTATGAGACTACTAGGGACAAGTGTGAATACCTACACAGTAGCTCTGAGTCGTTCCAACTGTTCTGATCACTTTATGTTAAGCAGAACTTTAAAGCTGATGAAAATACATGTAAGATATTGGTAGAATAAGACTTAGTTTTAATTAATTTAAACTAGGTAAATCATTTGTGTTTTGGCAAAACGACGTCTAAATTTTCAGATTTGAATAGTTAGAACAGGTCCAATTTGACATGATCAAATCAGATTGTAACTAAGAATTATGTGACTAGCATAAAGACCTAGATACAACTATTTCCTTGGGATTAACACCTAATAGGTCCACTTGAACCCATGATGAACTATTCAAAGTCATTTTAAAAATTATCTGATTTGGAACTAATTATGGATTGTTAGTTTGGGTAAGTTTATTATGTTCTATATAGCCAGCATTCACTAGACTTTGATTTTATTCTGAGAGGTTTTTTTTTTTTATTTAAAGATTTATTATTTGAAAGGCAGAGTTAGAGAGAGAGAGAGAGGGAGACAGAGATGGAGGGACAGAGAGATCTTCCATCTGCTGGTTCACTACCCAGATGGCCACAACAGCTGGGACTGGGCCAGGCCAAAGCCAGGAACCTCTTCTGGGTCTCCAATGTGGGTACAGGGGTCCAAAGACTTGGGCCATCTTGCACTGATTTCCCAGGTGCATTAGCAGGAAGCTGGATTGAAAGAAGCAGCCAGGACTCAAACCAGCACTCATATGGGATGCCAGCACTGCAGATGGCGGTGTAACCCACTGTGCCATGTGCCAGCCAGCTCTCTACAATAGGATTTTTTGCATTCACATAAAAAATATTTATTGAGTGCTTCCTACATGATAGCAGAATCTGGGTTTAAATCCTGACTCTTATTTAGCATTTGGTTTCAGGCAAGATACTTAACAATTATGCTTCATTTATAGTATCTAGATGATATAAAATTTTACTTTCTTCCTGACATCTGAAAGATAAATGAAAACGTGTATGTACATCCCACATTATACTACGTGGCACTTAGCAAGCAATCTATGAGTGTTCACTTTTCTATCATACAGACATGGCTGAATGGTACTGAGCAGAATGAGACAACAAATAAGCCTGGAGAGTAGCATTGAGTCTACCTCTCCCTGGATGTGTGACCTTGAAAAGAGTCTCTGATTCTTAAGAGGGGTTAATCATATCTCATATCAAGTTCACAGGGCATGAAGTAAATGTTCAAGAATTATCATAACTAAACACATCTCTACGTGTCTGGCTAGTTTTGCTTCTGAACATAGGCATTTGAGAACATTCCTTGTTGAAATATAATGAGGCTGCCCCGCACTCTCTCTCAGGTCCTGTCTGGAGAGGTGCCCATCCGTTCTTGCGGATGTCCCTACCCTAATAAACTTCGCTACTTTTACTTTCTAAAAAAAAAAAAAAAAAAGAAGAAGAAAAGAAAAAAAAAGAAATATAATGAGGTTGGGGCTGGCGCTGTGGCTCAGCGAGTTAACGCCCTGGCCTGAAGCGCCGGCATCCCATATGGGTACTGGTTCAATACCTGGCTGCTCCTCTTCCAATCCAGCTCTCTGCGGTGGCCTGGGAAAGCACCCGCGTGGGAGACCCAGAAGAAGCTCCTGGCTCCTGGCTTCGGATCTGCACAGCTCTGGCTGTTGGGGCCAACTGGGGCGTGAACCAGTGGATGGAAGACCTCTCTCTCTCTCTCTGCCTCTCCTCTCTCTGTGTAACTCTTTCAAATACATAAATCAATCTTTTTTTTTTAAAAGAAATATAATGAGGTTACAACAAAGCCAATCACATATTTGACTTTATCATCTTCGATGCCTGAAAGTCATTTAAGGAAGAGAAAGGGAAGAAGGGAAGGCTTTGAAGGAGGGAGGGAGGGGGAGAGAGAGAGAGAAGGAGGGAGGGAGGGAAGGTTTTGAGAGGGGGAGGGAGAAAACAGAATATGTCCTAAATGAAATTAATCTTACTGTGAAATATAAAGGTGAATATTTAATACAGTGAGTTTACAAAGAAATACTCCACTAAGGCTTCCTAAGTTCATATCATATCAGATATTAGAAAGAATTTCAAGATGAGATAAATACATGCTTAAAGTGTATCTATCACCAAGACACATAGCACTTTGTTTAAAATTCTAGTGTTCTTGCTTTCAGTAGGTGATCCATCAGTGAGTTGACCCATTTTCTAGTTTACAGATGATACAGGGACCTTAAGACCAGGAGCATGTATGGAAATTAAACATTGAAGCGTTATCTGAGTTCTACCACCTGCTATGTGTGCAACTTGTCTGCTATAAACCATGCTTTTACAATAAGATGATGTGGGCTGGCATTGTGGCACAGCTGGTTAAGCTGCTGCCTTATGATGCCAGCATCCCTTATAGGCACCAGTTTGAGTCTTGGCTGCTCCACTTCTGATCCGAATCCCCACTTAATGTGCAGAAGATAGCCCAAGTACTTGGACTCCTGAACCCACATGGAAGACCTGG